GAGAGAGGATAGTAATATGTTCTGGGAGAGCAGAGGGAGATCTTTGAATGATTTCAAAGTATAAGGAGGATAATGAACGAAAAAGGAAAGTAGAGGGACTATAGTTGGCTTTAACCCAAAGATAAAACGAAACTCCCAGCCTCTGTTCCAATTCAAATTGAGTTTGGCCTGTGGGACAAGTAGAGGACAAAATTAATGGATTGTCCAGTTAAAAATAATCATATGACATGACTGTTAAAATTAACGATATAATTATTACAATTAATATTAAATTTATTTTTATTTTTTATATAAATTAATATTTAAAAATACAATGTATGCTAAACTAACTTTTAGATCATAAATATTTATTTATCACGATCTAAGCATATCATAAACCAAGTGCCCTACTCGCGAGGAACAATGCTGGATGTCTAAATCTTGAATTCTAACTCATGCAATTACCCCCCCTCTCAATTTCCTCCAGTGTCCGAAAAAAAATCTACCATCCATCAGCACCACCAATCATGTTTATTTCTCGTCAGTCCAAAATGCTGTTCTTTTAACTTTTTGAGTGATTTATATATTTATTGAGGTATGCTTTTTCAGCTTCTTAATGATGTCAAGTCAAACTAATGTCTCATCATGTCTTAGCTGGCTAATCCATAACGAGTGTCTAGCCACTCTTCAAAGCATCAAAAATAGTACAATCTACCCTAATTCATCATTCAACACCATATTAAGTAATATATTTGATTTATGTTGTAAATTTGTCTTGTCCTTATTAGCTTCCTCTCACGGCTGCTACTCATACCTTAATTTCAGATTATTCATGGACTGGACAAAGTGAATGAAGCATGGAACACAATCTTCATTGCATCCGAAGACGACATGGAGGAAGCATTATCAGCTGCAAAGAGAGGAATACTAACTTTCAGCGGCGACTGGTTGATGAACTGTGTCATGGGACAAGAACTAGACTTGGATGCTCCGCAGTTTGCTGAGTCCTTGTGAGGAGACTTTTAATTTCTACATTGCAGTATGGACAAGAATCTCCCTTGCCGCACAGCGCTTCTTCGAATCTTCTGTTTTATAAAATGTACATTGACATATTATTTTGGTTCTTAAAATTATGAACAGATATGTTCAACAGTCTTAGCAATATTTTCAAGGACGTTAAACAATTCTCAAGGGAATTTCCCCTAGTTTTGCTAAAACAATTTTAAGCTATTACTTCATCTTGTGTGTGTATATTTAAGGGAATTTCCTCAATTTTCCATTTCTTTATTTTATGAAATATCTCGCCATTGATAGCCTTGGCCTGTCTTTGGTCTTGTTCAAGTTGCAACCATGAGAAAAGTGCCTCTCTTGAATCATTAGCGCAACTGGGGCGTGTTGCCTACTCATTTTAGGACTTAAAGTCACACATAATGGAGTGATTCTTACGGGTATCTTAACCTTGAACTTGACCTTGAATAGTCTATGGTATAGACTAATTTGTCTAG